CCCATGATAGGGTCATGTTGAAGGTACACAACAGCAAAACCCTCCAACTGTCAGAGTTTTGGAGGGACAGTCCTCTTCAATCATCTGTTGTCACACCTTTTCAGACCAACCAACAGCAAATGACATGAGTACATGCTATACTTAAAACTCTTAGCTGTGCAAACTAGCAGCTACTGAGTACAGTATAGGCATGCTATGGTTGCTACATCTAACACTAAATGCTCTCTTTACTTCATTCTGCTGTCCTTACCAGAGGTTGTTTTCCTCAGCCCTTCTCTCCTCCTTTCTGATTTACAATTTTAAAGTTTGGCAACTTCTGCAGGTGAAGAGCCCCCTGGTCCCACACTAATATGAGGCTGAAATGTAGCAACAAAATGGGGGAAAGCATTTAAAACACGTGCAACATGGTTGTTTTAAGAGTGTTTGCTGGCCTGCTATCTAATTTTCTTGGGGAAAATCATGCAGATCTGTTTAAAGCAAAAATTCTGCTTGTCTTAAAGGTCTTGTATTGGCCTACCATTCAAATTGAGTTATACAAATTGCGGCCAAATTCTGGTGGCATGGTGCTTCAGGCAAGGCCTATGAAATGGTATCCTGGCAATGTGTTGCCCACTCCCTCTGCTTTTAAGTGCAAGAATAGTTGTGCAAGCCCATTTACAAGTTAACCAATGAAATACACAGCTTAATCCACCTCACAGAAGCAATGTAGAATGTGAAAGAACCAATGAACCACAACAGACAGAAAATATCAGCACTGAGAACTATCCCAGCTCAGACTAGGGAAAGAATATTCAAAAAGATTCAAAAAATAGTTGGAAACATTTTTTATGTATGTCAAGAAACTCTTATGAGAAGAATTCTGGACTGATGAGAATCTTTGCAGTTTGGGGCTTTGTGCAAAATTCACACATAGTTGTTTTGCACAGAAAACAGTATTTCCTGAGCAGGAAACAGTGTTTTCTGCATAGGAAATAATATTTCAATGCAGAAATATTAATTCTCGCATGGAAAATGTTGTTTTCTGCGCAGGCAAATGTTGTAATTTGGGATGTGTTCTGCGTAAACTTTGCACATGGCTGAATCAAATAGAAAACATTTTATGCACAGGAGTCAATATTTGTGTGCTGAAACATTATTTTCCAGGCAGAAAATTCTGTTTCCTGTGCAGAAAATGCTGTTTTCTGTGCAAAACAAACATGGGTGAATTTTGCGCAGAATGAGTCTCAAATTGCAAATAGCCTTCATAAACTAAATTCTTTTCAGAGACTTTTTTGCAGCAGGAAGAACTTCTGCACTTTGAACACAGTTTGCAGAAACTGATGTAAGTTGAGGACAAAGAGGTGGGAGTGGAATAAAGAGAGAAGAAACTAGGATATTTTAAAAGGAGCTGGAAAAGTGGGATGACAGTGGACCATCCCTGCCAAATCAGGACAGCTAGAGAGCATGTCTTTACCAGCTCTGCTGTTGAGATCTTTGTGAAACCAAGGTCCCTTTTATGGTACACATTTATAGTGCTATGATTCCACTTGAATTGCCATGGTTCCATCCTGGGAGTTTAGGGAGAGGCATTTAGAATCCTTAGACAGAGATCTCTAGTGTTTTGTCAAACTACAAATCCCAGGATTCCATAGGATGTAGCTGTGATAGTTAAAGCAGAGCTACAGATTTATAATTGTGTAGCATGAAAGGGCTCCAAGTGCCTTCTGTAGGTAAAGCCAGGATTCATGTCTCTGAAATGAATGGTTAAAAAGAAAAGAAAAGAAGATATAGCACGTTATAGCAATGGTTCTCAAACTTTGATCTTCTAGATGTTATGGACTTCAGCTCCCAGAATGCCTGACAATTGACTAAGGGGGATGGGGAGTTGAAGTCCAAAACAACTGGAGGATCACAGTTTGGGATCCACTGAGTTATAGTGACTTAAGTAGTTAAGGACTTGTCCTGTTCTTTTTAGCCTCATTGAGTCAGAGTTAACAATTGGGTACAGTGGACCCTTGGTATCTGCTGAGGTTTGGTTCCAGGACCCTCTGGGGATACCAACATCTGTGGATGTTCAAGTCCTAATATACAATGCACAGTATATATAAAGTGGCAAATTAAGGTTTGCTTTTGGAATTTATATATACATATTGAATATTTTCAACCCATGGATGGTTGAATCTGTGCATTAAAAAAAATCTGTAGATACGGAGGACCAACTGTATGTGATTTTTTTCCCCCGAGGAGAGCAGCTGTTGATGGGTTCCTGAGAGCATTAACAAGCAGGTCAGAGCCTTTTCTGGTGGGATGAGGTGCGGTGTCAGCCTTGGATGAGTCTCCAGCGGTGCAATGGGTTTGGCTTCTCCTGCCACTCAGTAACTCAAGATGATAAGGCTTTGGGAAGGTGGGAAGGGAGCAGAGGCTAAGATAGAGAGGCCAATGCCAAGCGTGAGGTAATGGGACCACATGGATTTTCTCTACTCCCGCTTCATTTGGGAAAGGGCAGGGTCACAAGCCGGTCGCCTGAAATGCCCCCATGATGGGAATCTTCCAAGGATGCCTTGGGATGATTAAAGGAGTCAGGGAAGCTGGGAGTTGATCTGGTTTCTATCAGGCCATCCCAGGGGTAATGAAAACCTCTCCGTCCCTTCCTTCCTCTCTCAATCTCAGAGTGATGTGCAAGCCATGAGGGAGAGCAAGCATGCAAACATATGGCAATAAAGTTGTGGGCAGAAAAAAGCAGAGGAAGGATTGCAATTGTCACTGTGAAGGGTGACAGTGGGAGATGTGGGGAAGGGGCCAGAACAAGGGATGGGTGTGAGAAAGATGTTTGGACATGGAAAAGGGCAGGGGAAGTTCAAGCCGCCACAGAAGAAGGAAGCCATGGCATAAGGGGCAGCCCTCCCCACATTCTTTGCTGCCCACATGTCCAGGGGTCAGAGTTGCGATGGCTGTATTAACTGCTTCTAACAGACCAGAGAGGAGCAAATCAAGAGTTACACATAGCAAATGCTTCAGATATATCCTCCGGGACATCATCAGCATCAGAATGTGGTCAAGATGGCAAAAGTTATTAATAAGGAAGAACACAAAAGCTAGGAGAGGTTGCAGCAGTTTGCTTTTGCCTGAGTTTGCAGGGAATGGCATGACTCTACACCCACTCGTCTCTTCTCCTGCCTGCTGAATTAATTGGATGAAATTATTTTTGCACTTTGCACTAAGTTTGCAGCAACTGAAGTAAGCGGAGGACAAAGCGGGAGGATGAGAGAGAAACTGGGACATTGCAAATGTCACTGGAAAAAAGCAGGATGACAGAAGATAAATCTAAGGAGAGGTTATTCTATAGCCTCAGTAAAGATGTAGGCAAGTGATTCCCAAACTTTGGTCCTCCAGCTGTTTTGGACTTCAGCTCCAAGAAGCCCCAGCCAGCTTGGTGAACACTCAAGAATTCTGGGAGCTGATGTCCAAAACATCTGGACAATTGAAGTTTGGGAACCACATCATAATCTATGTTACATTACTTTACATATACTTAGCTATGTAGCAGAGGTACTAAGAAACCCTGTTAGTTAATTGTGAAGATGGGTAACAGGACACTGCCAAGAATGTCCTGATGCACATCAAGTCTACCAATACACATTTTAGCACTAGCTAGTGTCCCAATGCTTATCAGGACTGCATTGGTCACTCTGCTGGCTCCACCATGTAGTAATGTAATGTACCAGCAGCCCCTTACTAGATATGGATGTTCTAGAACTGCCTAATTCTAATTTTTGTATGTGCAAGTCTGCAGGAAAAACATAAGTTCCCAACAGGATTCTTACCATGTACAGTTGCAGGCCCATTGTACAGTTGTAGGAACTGGTCTGTTGCCCAAGGCCACCAAGTGAGTCTCTTTGGAATTGCCAATTTTATGCGATGAACGTCCAAATGCATCTAAGGAAATAGGTTCAAGTCTATGAATGCTCAAGCTACCAACTTCTATCTTCCAAAAGTTATGCAAGATCCCTTTGCACACTGATTTTCTAGACTAACATGGCTATATCTTTGAATTCCTGCCTTTTAGCCACTCTTGCTAAAACATTTGCCTTTCAGTCCCTGTGTCAGATTAGCTGTGTTTGTTTGGACATCAAGTCTTTTTCAGGGGTCAAATGTAGACATAATGCAGGGAAAGGGAATGTCTGACCTTCTGCATTGCTGGACTGCAAGTCCCTTGGTTCCATTGGCTATGTTGGTTAAGGCTGATTGGAGCTGCAGTCCAAAGGACATATGAAAGGACACCTGATTTACCCCACTGGTATAATGAATGCATGTGGAGGAGGCCAAGTTGTTGTTATTCACCTTCAAGTAGACCCCAACATATTGTGACCCTATCATAGTGTTTCCTTGGCTAGTTTGAAGTTTGCAATTGCCTTCCTCTAAGGCTGAGAGATTGTGACTTGGCCAAGATCACCCAATGGGTTTCTATGGCTGAGAGGAGATGGAAACCCTGGTCTCCCACAGTCTTAATCCAACACTCAAACCAGTACCCCACGCTACCTCTTCTCTGCCCAGTTTATATGCTTTCATTTGGGCATGTGTACTGAGGGTTCTCCCCCTTTTTAAATAACTACTCTGAATGCCGGCCAAGAGCTAGACTATAATTAACCCAGAATGGATTAATTGCCAGCCAGCTAAGGCTATAATCCAATATCCAGCTTCCTGGGAGTAAGCTCTCATGTAATTCAATGGGATATACATTTGAGTAGACATATCTAGGATTGTTCCTTGAAGTCATGTGTCATAGGCTTTAGCGTGACTGGGTCCTGTGCTGTAGCGTGACAATTTGGCTGTTGTTCTTTGTGCATTTTTCTGCTCCTTTAGACATTCCTCCCATTTCAGGTCAGATTTACAGCATAACTTTAACTCCTAGAAAACAGGAACTAGAGTCTTTCTAATAACAACTACTGCACCAAGATTACACATAATTGCTTCATATATGATGTAGGGGGTGCCACACTGCCTAACCTCTAACTATCCCAGTTAGCGTGGCATACTGGTTTGCATGTTGGATTACGACTCCGGAGACCAGGGTTCGATTCCCAGTTCAGCCGTGAAACCCACTGGGTGGCCTTGGGCAAGTCACATGCTCTCAGCTTCAGGGGAAGGCAATGGCAAACCTCCTCTGAACAAACCTTGCCAAGAAAACCCCATGGCCATAAATTGCCATAAATCAGAAGTGACTTAAAGGTGCACAACAACAACAACAAATCCCAGTTTGACAGGGATACTCTCAATTAATCATCCCTCATCCAGCTTATTTTGTTGCTTATAAAATGTCCCAGTTTCTCTCTCCTTCTTCAATTTCCCTCCTTTGTCCTCAGCTTATTTC